GTCTGACAACAATCGTGTTGGTTTGCCGATCGCCGGGCCGAATCGTGTTCCGGCCGGGAGCTCTGCCCAGGGCTGAAACTGTCAAGTTTGAAATCGGTTTGCGGGTCGCAAAAGAGGAAGCAGCTAGCAGCGGTGGCGATTGGTTGGATCTGGGCATGGAATACCTGGTGTCCCTTCGGAAGGTTCATGTCCGGTTCTACACCTCCGGGGTGATGGTCGGCGAGGTCAAGCAAGCCCGGGCTTCGCTGGAGAACACACTCCATGCCCATCCTAACCGCCCCGTCTTTGGCGTCTTCTTCATCCCGGACATAGTACACGGTACGTAATTAAAACCCATGATGAGATGTCATTTCCCTGATGCGTGTCTTTATACACTGATCGACCTTCCCTCTCTGTTTCTTTCTTCCCGAAGGCACAAGTGATGATGACACCTTCGTATAGGAGAGTTCGAGTGGAGAACCTTCAGGTTACAATCTTTTCCGATAATGAAGGCCAAGTGGTCAACCTTCAGGTTACATGCAGTTTGTTTTTCAGTTGAAAGGAAAACCATTTCAATTTTCAATACTCCAGAGTCCAGACTATGTATTAGGCTGGTCATAGTGAGAGTAACTAGGAAGTAACATAGCGCATTTTAAAACAGAGTTGCTTATGTGGCATAGAATTAATGAGGAGAAAGGGGTTTGGAGTAACATAATATGTTACTGTAACATAACGCAACCCAAAGCAAAAATGCCATCATCTATGATACTACTTGTATGTTATTTTGCACTATGAAGATAGTAACAAAGACTAGTGTCATATGCATGACACTAGTCTAAATTACTCCCCACTATGACTAGTCTTAATGTATACTACAGACATGCATAGGCTATGTTTTCCTCCCTTACTCATAAAGCCATGCTTATATAGTTGGTGACTTTATAGGCTGTTATTATTGTCATTGGAGACGCACGTCGGCGAACCATATGTGTATCAGCAGCTGCATTAAAACCTGCAAAAATAATAAATCATCAGCTGCATTCGAACTCAGTTATTCGTTGAGCTTAGAGCAATTTCAACGGACCGACCCAAACGGACGATGCTTTTATCCGTTTTTTGTCCGTTTGAATTGGCCACCCGCTCGGCTCCGTCCTATTTTAGATTTGGGTCGGTAGTGCGTCCAACGCGTTGACCCATATGTGCCTGCGTGGCCGGCTGGCCACCCTATTTCAACAAATAGCTCATTTTTGCATTGTTTCACACACAACTTTTGCATTGTTTTACACACATAGTTTCAATCGAATAAAATATCATAGTTTTACAAGTCGAATAAAAGTAAAAATGTCTCATATAGTTTTGCAAGTCGAATAAAGAAGATACATCTATTGATTGCCAACATGAGCCCACATATGCTCAACCAAATCATTTTGCAGTTGCACGTGAGTTTCTCGATCACGCATGTCATGATGAAATTGGGTGGATTGTTCAAATGTTGCCGCTTCTCCATGCTCAGGCATAACTTCTCACCTTGAAACTGAAACCCTTGACGTACAGACATTCCGGGCGCTCATCTTCTACGATCATATTGTGCATGATCACACAAGCAGTCATCACCTTCCATAGTTTCTGCGTGCTCCAAGTATTAGCAGGATACCGAACGATGCCCCATCGAGATAGCAAAACATCAAAGGCACGCTCGACGTCCTTCCTAGCATTCTCTTGCTCTTGGGAAAATCTTTCCTCTTCTCTCCGACAGGGTTGGGGATTGTCTTCACAATAGTGGTCCGCTGAGGATAGATATTGTCACCCAGGTAGTATCCTTTGTCGTAGTTGTGGTCGTTGATAGTAAAGTTCACCGGTGGGTTGTTGCCTTCGGCAAGCCTAGCAAACATCGGCGAGCGCTGAAGCACATTTATATCATTGTGTGATCCGGCCATGCCAAAAAAAGAGTGCCAGATCCAGAGATCTTGAGACGCCACGGCCTCTAGTATAAACAGTGCAAGCCCTGACATGGCCCTTATACTGCCCTTGCCAAGTAAAAGGGCAGTTCTTCCACTCCCAGTGCATGCAGTCTATGCTGCCAAGCATCCCTGGGAAGCCCCTGCTGGCATTCATCGCCAACAAACGGGTTGCATCTTCAGGAGTCGGCTCTCTCAAGTACTTAGGGCCAAACACAGCAATAGCAGCCTTGCAGAAGTTATACATGGAGTCTAGGCATGTAGACTCGCTCATACGGACATACTCGTCAATGAGATCATCGGGCACTCCGTACGCAAGCATTGGGATGGCGGCAGTGCATTTCTGATAAGAGGAGAAACCAATCTTTCCAACGGCATCCTCTTTGCGCTCGAAATAGTCATCATAGCCGACCACTCCCTCTCTAATACGGTTGAAAAGATGCCTACTCATACAGACATGGCGGTGGAATTTCTGATGTTTGAACAACGGATTTGTTGTATCAAAGTAGTCCTTTCAAAAAAGGAAATGCCCGCTCTCTCGGTTGCGATTCAACGCCAGAAGGTGGTCCAAAATGGAGCCACACAACAACGCCCGCTGGCTATTGAGGTGGTGATGGACCAACAGGATAACTAGTATCTCCTCCTCGTCATTGGACGACGAATCGTCGGAGTCGCAAAGGAAACTGTGAAAAAAGAACTCGTCGGCGGAGTCCATTTTGTACCTTGACAAATTGTCGAACAACTTGCGGGCGTCGACGAAGGAGACGGCCGGCGAAGGGAGTCGCGGCACGCACGAACCAGCTAGCTGCCCTGTCGGGCGTCCGACGAGCGTGCCGGTGAGGATCTGGCCGGGGCGGCGAGGCGGCTTCTTGGTTTGCGGTCGCGGCTGTGTCGAGGATGAGCGGGGGTGGGAAGCTGTCGGTTCCCCGGCGGCAAGACGGCGGTGGCGGGCGACGTGGGAGGTGGCGGCGTTGCATAGCAGATGTTGCGGTGTCGGCAGCTGGCAGAGTCACCAGAAAAAAATGGGCGGCGGCGTCGGCGACGAAGGAGGCGGGCAAGGGTTTGCTGTTGGATGGGGAGAGGCCAATGTGCCACCGACCAGCGGGCCCGGGGGAGGAGAAGGCGAGCGCGCGCGCGTCCGTCTCGTGTCCGCGCCAACTCAAATCCGGCTCAAAAATGGGCCGGGAATGGGTCAGCCGCGGACGAAAAGCGGACGCGCATCCGTCTGGGTCGGCGCATTGGGCCGACTTTTGTGTCCGCGCCGACCTAAGCGGACGCCCACGGACGAAATGGGTCGCCACATTGGAGTTGCTCTTAGTTCTTGGCTTAAATAAAAATAGGAAAATATATTATTATCCTTACAAAAAAGCATTTGTGAGGGCTGCATTTTTTCCCTAGTTTTACTCATGATTCTTAGTTCTTCGTTTGCTTTTCCGAAAAAAAATGTTGCATATATTTATTGTAACTAGCATAGCGGCCCTCGCAAATTCTTCTAAAATCTCTCCTTGTTGTTCCCTTGTTACTTTGTTAGACATGTATCTATCTCTATGGCACAAACTCTGAAAAAATATATGAATATGCTTCTAGAATTAAATAAATAACTAAGTTCATGTATTATTTTCTTTCAGTAATTTCAATGATATTCCCTCCATCTCATAATATAAGAGCGTTTTTATACCAGTGTAATGTCAAAAACAGAAAATAAATAAACCCTATCTGATGCACCGGTCATTCTAGGTTTCTAAGTGGCTGGTGTATAGGCCCTACCTGATGCACCGACCACTTAGAAACCTACGTACTGTAGGGGTGTGCGCCATCTACCATTTAGCCTATACGTGGCGCAACAAGAGATAAATACTTAAATAGGAATCGGAAAAATACCTTACTATTTTTTAGGTAGTATAAAGATTTGTATTGGGCTTGCTTCTGTCTATGTTTGTCTTCGGTCTATATCAAGAAAACTCCAGCATTACGATGTCATGACTTTAGGTTTCTTATTGAGAATGTAGTTTGACAATAGCTCCTTCTTATAAATATGTGCCCTCTAATGTGATCTCTGAGGTTAACTAGAACCTGGGGACTCACATTTTATGGGCCGGACAGATGAAGATGAAACAGTTACTCCCTCTGTAAACAAATATAAGAGCGTTTAGAAGCTCTTATATTCGTTTACAGAGGGAGTATTATTTTTGTGTGGAACTGTTTCTATATCAACATGTTTCAGAAGTTGATTGAGAAACACGCCTAATTTATTAGACTTTCACATTTTTAGACATAAATATGTTACCATAAGAAAAAGTTAGTTAGAGCAAAGTTGTTAAATAAAACAAGAAAAGGTTGATTGATGACAATGGACCAAATGATCCATCAAATTTCGAAGGATCATAACTAAGTGTGATGACTCATCAGAAGGCGAGTGCAGTCACAAGAAAAGCATGGTAGCAGTGATAATTAACATCGATTTCCCCCGCAAAAAGAAAAGATAATTAACAGTTTGCCCGTGATTTACAGAACTAAGTTGTTAGGCACTGGCTTGGAACCTAACAATGGACATACAAATGATTAACCTTTGTTTTTACATGAACAAATGATTAACTTAGGTAAAAGCTAAGCTTTGCAACCTCCAAAGCTTAATAAAATAAAATTGCTAAAAATCCGACGTCAGATTTTTAGGCATAACAAATCGAATGCTTTTCATGACAATTTACATTGATGCAAGGATGACAAATTTAGTTGCAAGCACGGCAATATTCTGGTAAAAATGAACTTAGGAGTATTTGTCATGCTCGTCAACTAAACTTGTTATACTCTGACGTTCGCTAGATACTCCTGTCCTGATAAAAGAAGACTATTTTTTGCAAACTAATAAAAGAAGACATGACCTTCGGTTGGATCACCAAACCACGAGATGCTCTGTTCTCAAAACGCCGCCACGTTTCTACGGTTTACCTGCCGCCGGCCGGAAACTACAGCCGGTTCCTTTCTCTGATGATAGTTTTCAAGTCTGACAAAAACACAAAGCATGTAACATAGCTTGGTCGACACTAGGGGCGGCGCGGCCGATCAGGCGGCGGCGAAGTTGGAGACGGCTCCGTCGCCCTCGCCGCAGGCGCTGTGGATGGCCCTCATCCTGTCGACGGACTTGCAGATGCCGCTGCAGGACCAGTCGAAGGACGCCGCGCACACGTTCCCGGCCTGCTTCTTCCACTCGCAGTCTGCATGCACGGAGAAGGAGAAGCAGAGCAGATCAGCTTCACAGATTATAACACTGCAGAAGAGATTGGTTTTAGACTACGGAGGTGCTGTACTACGTACCTGGCGGCGTGGCGCAGCAGAGACTCCGGTCGTCGACGTGCTCCACCTCGAGCCCGATGAGCCACGCGCCCAGCGACACGTCCTCGTTCGCGAACCGGTGCAGTATCGGCCTGCACATCCATCATCGTACGACGAAAATCATCAGCCAACAACGTCAATTTACAAGATCATTTACCCTAGGATGTACTGGAGATTGTACTTACTGGTTGATAGAGATGTAGGAGGCGAGGTCCCTGGAGATGGCGTAGATCTGCCCCGTGGCGTGGCGGAAGTACTTGTTCCCCTCGTCCCCGAACTTCCACGACTCCGGCTCGTGGTACTTGACGCCCCTGCAGCCACCAACACCCACACCCATGGCGAGAGATCAGCGAATGGCATGGCAAAACGATCAATCTATTCAGCTCGGTGCACTAGATTACTTCTGCGACAGCACCGGGCCGGACTTCATGCACCCCACGTACACCCTCGGCGTCGTCCGGTACCTGGCGAGCCTGTTCGTCAGCATCCCTGCACGCACAACCACCACACAACTAAGCTCGACGGAGCCACGGTACGTACAAACTCGTAGCAAGTCCAGTCCACTGCTGCGTGTGGTACATATACGCACGTACCTAGGTTGACGTGCACGTCGTCGTCGACCTTGACGTAGAAGGCGGCGTCCCAGGTGGCGACGGCGGCGGCGAAGTAGATCCTGGTCTTGGAGGAGAGCTCGTGGTAGCCCTCCACGTGGTCCAGCCGCATGAAGTCCCTCGTCTCCGCCTCCTCCACGTCGATGGCCCGGTCCAGCGCGCCGCCGGGCGTGGCGCTGTGCCCGATCACGAACCGCACCACCACCCCCTTCTCCTTCTCCAGCTGCCGGAGCTTGTCGCCCCGGGGCACCCAGGTGTCGCGGAGCGAGTCGCGCCGCTTCTTGCTGCTGAAGGCCGTGTTGATGCCCACCACCACGAACACCTTCGGGAGGCCCTTGGACGGCACCGCCGCGCCCAGGCCGCCGTTCCTCTTGGCGCGCTCCACCGCCAGCTCCATCTCCAGCGACGACACCGACTTGTCAAGAGACCTGCACCACCACATACATACATCCGTAAACAACATCAGTATAGTACGATTGGCACTTGACTGTCGGGAATAAGATAGGTGCTTACCGAATGGCTTGGTGGGTTCGTGTCACCTCGTTCATGACATCGTTCGGGTTGCTCTCTTCTTCCAGCTTCTGAAAACCAAAAAAAATGAACGATGAACCAAGCCGCATGCAGGATCGACAACAATGTATACGTACGTGGTGGTGTGCTTGCGTCGAGCGAACGAAAAAATGGTGTGATCGAACGGTAGTGGCACTTACACGCCTGTGCTCGCAGTCGTCGTCGGAGAAGAGGGCGATCCTGGAGCCGCCGTGGCTGCCCGACGCCGGCGGCGTCAGCACCGTCATCCGGCCGCTGAGCAGCAGCCCCACGAAGAAGCTGGTGGCGCAGAGCACGAAGACGGCCTTTCCCGACATGGGCCTCGCCCGGGGGGCCTTCTTCTCCGACTGCGGCTGCCTCTCGCTCAGCGCCTAGATTAATTCAGACAAAAACACACACGCGTGAGCACTAAACTGATCAATTTCTCAGGCCAGCTTCGGCTGCGTAGCACAAACCATCATCGCTCTGCAGGCAGGCAGGCGCTCTGGCTGGATTGGAGGTGGCTCTGCTCAAAGACAGACAACTACTGAAAGGAAGAAGAGCTGCCTCTGTCTCCAGGGCTGAAGACTGAAGAGGCGCTGGAGCCGACGCCGAAAACGCCGGCTATCTATCCCACCCATGCATGAGTCCCAGCGCTGCGCCCTGCACGGGCGAAACGGTTCAGTTGGCAGGCAAGGCCCTTTGTGTGAGGGGCCTCATGCTGCCAGTGTGAGCCAGCGGGCGAGGGAGCGAGCAAAAACATGCTGCCGAGCGGGAAGCAAAGCGAGCGCTGATGCCCCGAAGAAAAGACCATTACGCGTTTTTTTTTTTGGCGGTGAATGATCTGCTGGTTAACGGTGCTCTGCTTGTTATTGATGTGTGCTTGGTGAGTGATTCACCTATGTTTTGATTAAGCCTCCCAGGACATCTCCAACGTCATCCATCAAACCGTCCGTAAACGTTCAGATAATGTGGTCCGGACATTTCGTGCAGGGCCAGTCCATGCATGTTGGGGGCCCTGGGGTGAAACTAAAACTTAGGGCCCTCACACATAGATGAATACTTCACTTCCTTTCGTTAGTGTAATTCTTCCCTCTCGTTAGGGTTTCACGTCCTCTCGGTGGCGTTCATCGCCGCGCGTGGAGATCTCTTTCTCTACCTCTGATCGCTGAGTCCTCTCCGTCTAACGATGGGTGTGACGATCTGGTTTCGCTCCCCCGTTCTAGGCGACAAACTAGCGGCGTCTGGTTGGTTAGGGTTTGGTCACAGCCCGGTAGAACTCATCTTCGGGCAAGGGAAACAAGAAGATGGTGACAGAAGCTTCTGGATCGGGTGATCCGAACGATCTGGCAGCGACGATGAAGGAGTTGGGTCTTTCTGAGGAAGACCTAGATGATGTGGTGGTGGATCAGCAATCTGTGTCGCCCGAAGCGACGCGCTGGATGGCGGTGGCAAGGGTGAATACAGAAAAGCAGTATAGTCAGTTTTGGTTCTATAAAAATATGCGTGCAGCCTGGAATCTTGCGCAGAGAGTCAACATCCGCCCTCTGGAGGACAATCTGTACACCCTCCAATTCGCATGCTTGGGGGACTGGGAGCGAGTAATGGGGGATGGTCCATGGGTGTTCCGAGGAGATGTTGTGGTTCTGGCACCGTATGATGGTTTCTCAAAGCCGTCTTCGATCAAGCTTGATAGGTTGGAGATTTGGGCTCAGATACACGACTTCCCAGAGGGATATGTATCCCAGATCCCATCGTTGGCCTCGAAGCTAGGGGAATTCATCTATGCCGAACCAACCTCACATGACTTTGAAGGCAATTTTTATAGGGCCCAGGTCAAGATCGATGTGGGTAAGCCGCTGAAGAATGCTGTTTCACTCAAGGTGGGCGATAGAAGGATGATTTTCCGTGTGAAATATGAGCGTCTTCCGAACTGGTGTGCGGTTTGCGGGAGACTTGGCCATCTGTATAAGGAACATGGAGATGGTGTGCATCCGCCGTCGGCTTTGGTCTTCAAGAACCGTAAGGCTGACTGGTTCAGAGGCGCGGGACCAGGACCTGGTGGAGCAAGGAACGGCAGCAAGGAGAAAGCCAAAGCTAGGGGACAGCAGGCGCGGAGCGGTTCTGATGCAGATGAACAGATGGTCGATGCAGAAGGAAACAGGAAACGCACACAAGTTTCAGATGCAATAGCCAGTATACAGGGCGGATACAAGTTCAAACCGAAGGGAGGTGAGATCCTTGCCCTCCCTTCACCACAGGTCCCATTGAGCCCGCCGCCAAAGCAGGACCCTAAGCGTGCTCGGATGGAGACAGCGGAGGACAAGGGGAACCAATTCCAGAGTAGTATCAAGAGATCAGGCAATGAAGCTGAAACATCATCGGCGGACTCCCGAGAGGAGTACCGCCGGGTACAATGAGTATCTTAAGTTGGAACTGTCGCGGTGCGGGCAAAGCCGCGACAGTCCGAGAACTTCGCGATCTAGCAAAGAAGTTTGTCCCTACCCTGCTTTGTATTGTCGAAACTCAGCTAGATAGAGTTCAGGTAGAAAATTTAGCAAGTACTCTTGGTTTTGATAATTCGTTTGTTGTTAGTAGTCAGGGCCGGAGTGGAGGCCTCGGCATTTTCTGGAACAATCCAATAAAAGTTGAGATTTTGGGCTACTCGATGTATCATATTGACTGCTCCATAGATGAACCAGGTCACGAGAAGTGGCGCGCATCTTGTTTCTATGGGGAGGCACGCACACACTTGAGGCACCAGACATGGGACACCATGAAGGGAATAGCAAGTTTGAGTGATCTCCCATGGGTGTGCATGGGTGACTTTAACGAAGTGCTACGTCCAGATGAGCAAGAAGGCATAGGAGAACGAAGCAATGCTCAAATTCAGGGCTTCCGTGAAGCTGTTGATGTTTGCATGTTGTTGGATGTGAGCTATGAGGGCAATTTTTGGACTTTTGAGAAAAGAGTGACCGGCGGAAGCTATACAAGGGTTAGGTTGGACCAGGCTCTGGTGTCAGCCGAACTTAGTGCACATTACCCGGAGGCAAACCTGAAACACTTAACAGCAGCCGGCTCCGACCACTACCCGATCCTTTTCAGCCTGAGAGGCGAGAAGGGGCGCCCGCCGGCAAAACCTCCATTCAGATACGAGGTTATGTGGGAATCACACGACTCATGGCGTGATACTATCACCCAACAATGGAGCCAGGGGCAAGTTTCATCAACCATGGAGGGACTCAAGGAGAAGTTAAAAACAATCTCAAGCAGTTTGGGTCGATGGAACAAAGAGACTTTTGGATGCGTTCGAAAGGAGATAAAACACCCGTGCTCTGAGCTGCACCGCTTGAGAGGTGAGCCAACCAGGGTGGGGCCGTCACATGTTGAGCTGAAAATTAATGAGAGGCTTGTTGAGATATATCATCAGGAGGAGATTATGTGGAGGCAACGTTCACGTATAGAGTGGTTAGCGGCGGGAGACAAGAATACGAGGTTCTTCCACATGAGAGCTAGTATGCGGAGGAAGAAGAACATGATCAAAGCGCTAGCTAACTCCCTCAGAGCCATGATTGATGACCAAGCAGCCCTAAAAGGTATGGTGTCCGATTTCTATCAGAACCTGTACTCCTCTGAGGGCGTCACGGATATTGACTGAGTGTTACAACATGTCCCCGTCAAGGTTACATATGTTATGAATGAACAACTCACTGCACCGTATACAAATGAAGAAGTGAAAACTGTGCTTTTCCAGATGTTTCCCACAAAGGCACCAGGGCCGGATGGATTTCCCGCTCACTTTTATCAACGACACTGGGATCTATGTGGGGAGGAGGTCACTAAGGCGGTATTGAGAATTGTTCGAGGGGAGGAGAGTGCAGCATGTGTGAATGACACGGTCTTGGTTCTCATTCCTAAGGTGATCAACCCAACTCTTCAATCCCAGTTCCGGCATATTAGCTTGTGTAATGTCATTTACAAAATGGCCTCCAAGGTCGTTGCAAATAGGTTGAAAGTGGTGCTACCAGACATTATTTCTAAGAAGCAATCTGCTTTCGTTCCAGGCAGACTCATAACGGATAACATCATATGTGCATATGAGTGTTTACATTTTATGAAGCAGAGCAAGGTAAAGACGAATAGCTATTGTACGTTGAAGCTGGACATGATGAAAGCATATGACAGGTTGGAGTGGTCTTATCTCCAAGCAATTAAGATCAAGCTTGGTTTCAACCAACAGTGGGTGGATATAGTGATGGGGATGATCAGCTCCGTTTAATTTTCAATTCAGTTTAATGGTGAGAGACTTGAGAATTTTTTGCCTCCTCGTGGCATCCGACAGGGAGATCCAATCTCCCCTACCTCTTCTTGATCGCAGCAGAGGGCCTTTTGTGCCTTTTAAAATCCAGTTCTCGACCATCAGCACTCAGTGGGATTAAGGTGGCACCCACAGCTCCGGCTGTTAACCACCTTCTCTTCGCCGATGATAGCATGTTGTTGTTCAAGTCAAGTGTGGAGGGGGCGGTAGCTGTATCAAACCTGCTGGAGTTGTACTGCAATGCTTCCGGACAAAGGGTAAATCACGACAAATCCTCTATCTTTTTCAACAAGGGGTGCCCACAACCTCTAAGGGATAATATCAAGAACACTCTCAACGTTCAGAATGAATCCTTGAGTGACTGATATTTGGGGATGCCAACGGATGTGGGGCAGTCAAAGATGGGTACTTTCAGATATCTTCGAGACAGAGTCTGGGAGAAGGTGAAAGGCTGGATGGAAAAATTGTTATCAGCCGCGGGCAAGGAGGTACTTATAAAGGCGGTGGCCCAAGCCTTGCCGGTCTACTCTATGGCTTGTTTCAGGCTTCCTTGTGGCCTATGTGAGAACATCACACCTATTATTCGCCAGTTCTGGTGGGGAAGCAAAGCTGGCAAGAGGAAACCTAGCTGGGTGGCCTGGGATATCATGACTAGACCAAAACACTTGGGCGGTCTGGGATTCCGTGATATGGAGATTTTCAACCTTGCTTTGCTCGCCAGAGTAGCCTGGAGAGTACTTACTGAGCCTGCTTCTCTTAGTGCAAGAATTCTGAAAGCGGCTTACTTCCCTGAAACTACATTGCTGAATGCAGAACTTGGTGGGAGGCCGTCTCATATCTAGAGGGCGGTCTTGGATGACCGGGACATGCTAAGATTGGGGATAATCCGCAGAATTGGTAATGGGCAATCTACACGCATATGGAGCCATAACTGGTTACCAAGACAGGGCATGATGAGGCCCATTTCCTCGAGGATCCCATCACCGCCGATCATGGTGTCTGAACTTATTTCTACAGCAACTGCCACATGGAATGAAGCACTGGTTCGGTCTGTCTTTTTACCCAGCGATGCGGAGGCAGTTCTCAGTATACCGCTCTGTACAAGAAATATTAGCGATTTTTGGGCATGGAGCGGGGAGAGGAAAGTTTCTTCTCCGTTAAATC